TCATTCACCAGATCAATAGTTCCTCCCCCCCCCCAAAAAAAAAAAAAAAATTTTTCCGCCGGTTGTTCGGCTTCCGGGGGGGGGGGGGGGGGTTCTCTTGTTAACCCATTTGGTGGTGTTTGGCCCATGGCCCTGCCTCCCCTCAAAACCGGGAAGGGGGGGATGTTTGGGTTTTTGGCCGCCCCGGTTTTGTTCCCTTACCCAAGTTTCCAAGGGAGAAAACTTCTCCCCCTTTGGGTTTGGTGGCCCCATCCCGGGTTTCCCAGGGGTGGTTGGGGCTTCCCAGCTCCCCAAACAACCTTGGTTCCCTTTGGGCGGGCAGGATTATATTCCCAATCCCCCCAGGGAGGGAGGGTGGGCAAAAAACCCCCCACCCCCGCCCCAAGTTGGACCATTTCGTCCCGGGGGGCTTCCCCAAAGGTGGACAGCTCCTTTTTCCGGGGGCCCCCCGGGGTCCCCCCCCCCCCCCCCCCACCTCCGACCGCTGCTGCTGCTGCTGCTGCTGCCATCTCCGCCGGCCTCGACAGGCCTCTCGCCGGAGCGCCCCCCGCAGCTCCGAGCGACGACATGCCTGCTCGCGCAGCGGTAGCCGGAGCGGCGGTGGTTGTTGGCGCCGGGACGAGCGCTGAAGCTCCGCTGCCGACACCGAAAGAGGCGGAAGCGGGAGCGGGAACGGAAGTGGAGGGGTCGTTGTCGTCCTCCTCCTCCTTTTTCTTCTTCAGGGCCGCCCGTCTCATGCGCCTCGCTCGCTCGATCGCCTCGGCGGTGGTCTGCAGCCCCTCCCTCTCCTCCTCCTCCCTCCTCCTCCTCCTCTCGGCGGACCGCAACCCCTGCTGCTTCTGTCGCTGTCGTTCTTCCCGCTGGTGCTCGCTCTCTTTCTCTTTCTCTTTCACTTTCTCTTCCTCTTCCTGCTGGCGCTGCTGCTGCTGTCTTTCTAGCTCCTCCTGCTGCTGCTGCTGCTGCTGCTGCTGCTGCTTCTGTCGCTGTCGTCGCTCCCGTTGGCGCTTATCCTCTCCCTCTTCCTTCTGTTGCTGTTGTTGCTGCTGTTGCTGCTGTTGCTGTTGCTGCTGCTTTCGGCGAGAAGCAGAAGAAGACGAACGACCCCCGACGCGCGTCTGCGCGTGATCGGGCGCACCCTCCTCCTCCAAGCAGCCCCCGCCCTTGCCGTCGCCTGCATCGCCACCCAGCCTTATTCTCGACGACGGAGCCCCCTCTCTTCTCCCGCGATCCCTACCACCAACACTCTCGCCTTTGCTCACCACGCTGCTGGGTGGTGGTGCGGTGTTGTCGCGAGCAACGGTGTCAGCCACGCTCGCTTGATTGTCCCGTGCCCCCATGCCCCCTCCCGCATCAGCCTCCGCGTGGTTATTGGCTGCCCCATGCCCGAACGAAGAGGTGTTCCTGTCTTGATCTTGCGACGACCTCTGTTGTTGCTGCTGCTGCTGCTGCTGTTGCTCTGGCTCTTGCTGCCGGTGCCGCCGCTGCCGCTGCTGCTGCTGCTGCTGTGGTCGCTGCTGTGGTCGCTGCTGCTGCTGTGGCTGCTGCTGCTGCTGCTGCTGCTGCAGCCTCTGCTGTAGCTGCCGCCTTCGTCGGTCGGGGTGCGATGCCTTCCGGCTAACGTTGTTCAGGTATTCAACCACGAAACGAGCGCAGTGCAATGAGGGCATCACACATGAACGTATTGGATTTTGCCCAGGTACAGTCGGGCCAGCTGGTATTCCAATACTTGATTCTCAGGAATTCCGGATAACTCGTAGTATGCCCAAGGGAAGGTGGATTTCAATACAAAACGTGCCAATAGGTTGCGGGCTATTTTAGTCTGATGAATTGGAAACGGTCCATCAAGGGTACAGCGTGCGAGTCGTTGTGAATGCATACATTTGCCCAGGCACCTTTGGTTCAGCTGGTGGTCTCCTGAACAGCTATTACAGAATGGAAAACGGTCGTGGAAGGTGCAGCGCGCAAGTTGGTTCAAAGTCGTGGACCTCCCGACATACGGCCGGTCCGCGAGTTCGAGAACACAAGGTGAGGGAAGACATCACACCCCGTACAGCATGTAGACCGATTTTCGAAGCTCGGTTACTCCACTGCGGAGAGGATGTCCGCATCAAACGATACAGTAGTACGTACGTTTTCGGAAAGCTGTCCACCGACGGTTCCAACGCACCCTCGTTCGGCACCGGAGGTCTTTCCGCTACGGAACAATCGACCTTTGAAGATAGATCGTTCTAGGGGGTGCGGTATTTTGTGTCATACGGGTATGCGAGAATAACAACCAGTCACGACAAAGAGGAGGCGGCGACAAGCTGACGACACCGACATGCACTCTTGTGAAGGACAGCACCAACTGACGGACAGGTTCACAGGGAGCATAAGGATAAGGATAACAGGGCAAGGAAGGTGACGGGGGGCACCGGAGTGTGTGCACACCGAGGAAGAGCGTTGGGTACCCCCGAACACCAAAATACCACCACAGAGCCGACGGGTGCATACGGGCATGATGCCCTATGGACACAACAACCTCTGTCGAAAAGCTGGCACCGTACTCCAGCTACGCCATCCACTCGACTGGCCCCCTTCCTCCATCATCCGAACGAAAACCATCGCCATCGCCATTGCCGTCTGTTTGACGGCACAACAAACCATCCCCGAAACCGTCAAAGTGGTTATCGTGCTTCTCAACAAAAGGTTACGCCCGAGTCCGTCAAGCTTCCTTTCCAAGACACGAACATACCACGGTCTCCGACTGTTCATTGTGCAACACTCACGTTCCGGTTTCTCCTTCCGCGTTCGGCCCCATCGCCTCGTCCTTCTTTCCGCCGTCACTCCTGGCCCTTGCCCCATTCGCACCGGCCACACGCTCCTCCTCCTGGTCCTCCACCTCCTGGTCCTCCTCCTCCTGCCTTAGGCCTCGCTCGCCCCCCGCAACCCCGCTCCGTTTAACGGCAACGCCTCCGTCATCCGAAGAAAATCTTCTACGGGGTGAATCCGACTCCGACGCTGCTGCGGTCGTCATGGTGTTGGTCATCTCAGAGGACGAAGACACCACCACCTCCGCCACCTCGTTCAAGTCCATCTGGGAAAAAGGGGCCGTTTCTGGTGCTGCAACATAGCGAAAAAGGGTCGGGGAAAACTAGATTGTTAAGGCCCCGTACTAAATAACAAACGCCGAAAAATCAAAATCGAAAAAAAAAAAAAAGAGCTCTGTTGGAGGGGGGAAAAAAAATCATTTGATTCTTATTTTTTACTTTTCTAATCTGTGACCTTCGTTAATGCGGGGCCTTACCCAAATCATGGGGCGGGGTGCTAATACTCTACACGGGGGCTCGGTACCGTCTACCTACACGTGTACCTATCTACGCAACTCTTTGGAACGTTGTCGACGATTCACGCCCCCCCTCACACGCTACAGCACCGCAGGAAACACACATCACATCGTGGGGTTCCCAGCGTAAGCCTCACCTTTCCCAGCCCCTGTCGCTACCGACGGCAAAGAGTCCACTCGCGGATAGGAGAAAGAGGAGGAGGAGGCAGTAGGAGACCCAACAGACTGCAGCACTCCCCTCACCCCCACCCCCACTCCCGCCCCCGCCGACGAGACCTTGAGCGTATTTTCCCCCGCGGCCACCGCGAGTGAGCGGACGTCGTTGCCGTTGTTGCCACCTCTCGTGGCAGCTGCAGCAGTTGGCGTCGGTCCCGTCGTCGCAGCAAGGCGTGACGAGTCGCCGTCTCGCACGGACAAGAACGCCTCCGGGAGGGACCGGTCTTTTCGTGACGGATTCGCGTCGGCGGTGGGTGACAGTCCCGCCTGCTCCGATTTCGCCGCCTCTCCTCGCTCCCGAAGGAACTCGAAGGCTTTCGCCTGAACAAAACGGACGGTCAATTTGTCGCGATGATTTTCGAGCGGTTGTGTTGGGGGTCATGATCTTACGAGAGAGCATCGAGACGTGCCGGCGTGGAGAGGCCGGCCGCGTGTTCCTAGCCATCATAGCTCCCGACCAGCCCACCGCCACTACGGTAAGGGTAACCATCTGCATGCCACGACAGCGGTGTTTTGGACCACAACCTGAGGTCGTGGTGAGTCGAAATCATTGCAACGCGATCGATTAACAGTGCTACGGCGGTGTCTGTCTGGAAGGGGGGCAAAGCGGGTTTCAGAAACAAACTACTCCCGGCAGAATGAATGAGACAGCTGGGGTTCCGTCTGGGGCATCCCAGTTTTACTGTTGCTGTTGCTGTTGCTGCCGTCATTCTTCTTGCTGGTGCCAACACCCAAGGGTGACGGTAAAAAAGTGAAAACGGTACCTACCTTAGTAGGAGAGTTTCGATGAGAACCCAACCAGTGGTGTAGTACATACTGCTTAATTTTCACTTGGTTTAAGAGCATTCGTCCCTTACCGAACAAAGAGAGTTTCCATGAGAATCAAATCAATGGTGCAGTATCTACTTTCTGAAGCAAAAGTAAAAAAATACGGACCTTTACTGCTGTATTTTAGAGTACCCCTCCCTCTAGACCCTCTGGGAGTTAGTTGCCTAAGCGTGTCGGAAATTTCTTATGGTCATCCTTGCTGCTTCTTACCTGAAGATCCGCGTACGCCAGCGCCTTCATCGCTCTCGTCAGGAGGTGCGCGTACGCCTTCGCCCTCACCAGCTTGTGCGCGGCCTGCGCCTTAGCCTCTAGCTCCGCCGCTGCCTCCTCCGGGCCGACAGCCTCCCCCCCGGCAGTCACCATCGCCACCGCCATCCCTTTCCCGCTAACCTCCATTACTTCCCGGTACAGCGCGGCCGCGCCGCACGGGCACTCCGTCGGATCGCGCCCGAACCTCCCGTTGTCGAGCGGGGACGCCCGGCCCCCGCCCCCCGGCGGCAGCATCGCGCGCGCCTTTCCACTACTACCGCCATCGGCAGCCGCGGCGGCGGTGACGACGCTAAGCGCCATCGGGGCACCGGCGGTAGCCCACGGCTTGGTTGCTGAGGTGCTGCTGCCGGGGATGATAGCTTGCGGCGGCGGCTCCAGGTCCTGATCGGGCGACGAGGAGGTCGAGGCCGGGGAGGCCGGGGTAAGCCTGGCGGAAGGAGGCGTCGCCCCGCCGCCGCCGCCGCTCCGGTCCTTCGGGGCGAAGGCGGAGGCAAGCGTGGAGCCGTTCCCGACGCCCCCGGACGACGCCAGCGAGCTGAGCGCCGAGCCTATCGAGGACCCGAACCACGCCATCGCAGACGACGCCGCGATTGGAGGCGCGGCGGCAGTCGCTGCTTCCGCCGCCGGGTCCTCCTCCTCCGACTCCTCGCGGTGGGGGCTGCTGCAGCGGGGTATCGAATGCGGCCGACCGTTGTTGCCCCCCTCTCCTCCTCCTCCTCGAGTAATCGGCAGGGACAACACCTTGAATACCCGCGATCCAGCAGGTGGCAGTTGCGGCTGCTGCTGCTGTTGCGGCGGCGCCCCCACGCTGCTGTCATCAACAGCCATTTGTGCCGTCTTCGCCGCCGCCTGCGGCGGCGGCGGGGCGCCGCCCAACATGCTGCTGCTGCTCAAGCTGCGGCGGATCAGCCGTGAGGAGGCGCGCAACAAGGACGACGACGTTGACCCTAACGCCTTCTGCTCCGCCCTACCGCTGCCGCGCAACCCTGCCCCGCGTTTGCCATCGGCGCCAGCTTGAGACCTTCGCTGGGGGCTTTGGCCAGGGCTGCTACCGCAAGCCGAGTCTGCGCGGGGGGAAACGGACCTGGAGCGTCCTCCTCCTCCCTGCTCGCGCTGGCCGGCCGCCGCCGGCAAGTGGCTAACCCCGTTGCAGCGGTCGCGGTCGCGGGATGTGGCGAGGAGGTGATGGTGCCAGCGGTTCTCGAAGTCGACGCCGCGGGCGCAAGTCCCGCACACTTTTTTTATGGCACGGAAAACAGTAACAACAGTAGCGGCGTGGGGGGGGGGGGGGAATGTCGATGTTCATGTCGGTGGACGACTTCCTCAGAGATGTGTCTAAAAATTGCCGAGTCCGTCATGGCGGTCAGAAGGGCGAACGCAATACGCAGGATTCCAGAAGACAAGATAAGAAAGGTCGAGGAAGCTAAATACGCTTCCGCCCATGCTTTGATGACGTCTGCGTAACCACTAACCATAAAATTTATCCCCAAGGCCGGGGCAACACTAAACCCGACCAGGCGCTTTCAGGCGCGAGACGCAAGCAAAAATTTCGGCGCGATTCCGGGGCGAGCAACAGCAGTTTCTGCTCATCGTGGGAAACGTTTCGTGACAAAAAGAGGGGGATGGGGGCATTTCCCGTTCCCCACAGAGAGGGAGGTCTCGAGCTCGCTCGCTTGGAACCACGGTGCCGCCGCCACCGCTCATTTTTCTGAACCGAGCTACCCCCTGCTGCTGCATCATCGATACATACGGTAGAAGAGTGCAGATCCTTGCTCACCAAGACGCTTAAACGCTTTCGTACCTCCCTCCACAACACGCCTGCCCTTGCTTCAACAAAACAGAACAGAACAAAACAAAACACAGTCACCGCCGTAAGGTGAAATACTTCAACCCATCCCCTTCGACTATTACTGCTGTGGTTATAACTCTCGAATGGGCAACCTTTGCTTGATAATAGTATGTATACAGTCGTGCCTCCGATATAGGAGGGTACCTTTCAAGAGGGGGCTCCGATGTAAGGGGGTCGAAATCGGGTGTCACGGACTCGACCCGCTGAAGTATGGTAGTTGGGTACCCTCTTATCCCGGTGTAAGACGGGGCTCCGATATACGAAAGTCCAAGGTCCTTTGTCACAACACACCACCCTCTTATATCGGAGGCTGGACTTCCTTGTATTCCCTAAAAGCTCACCGGGGATGACGATCTTCGGCCCTCTGCAGTGCGCCGGCAGATGCTTCAAGCACGCCTGGCAGCACCCCTTCCGGCACCGAGCGCACCGCGCCATCTCCACCCCCTTGCCGCCCTTCCTGCCGTCCCTCACGCCGCCGTTCACCTCTTTGACGACACCGGCGTCTCTCTTCCGCTCTTTCCTGCCGCACATGGTGCACACGAGCGAGACCCCAAGGGCCCCCATCTCTGCAGGAGGGAAGTCGTCCATCGACCCCCGCGACACCAGCAGCATCCCGCCGTGTCTTTTCTCGCCGCCCCCTCCCACGGCTGGGGCCGCGGTCGAAACCTTCGGGTCGGCATCGAAGCTCGGCCCCGCAAGGACCAGGCGCGGGCCGGGAACCAGCGAGCGAACGCTGCCGCCCGTAGCGGCGCCGGCGCCAAAGGAAGAAGTAGGCTTCACTCCCGGTGGTGGGGGCGAGTATTCTCTGGGCGCCACCCCCCGCGGCCTGGACGACGACGACATCGGGAATTTCACCACCAATATTTCCTGCTGCTGCTGCTGCTGCTGCTGCTGCTGCTGCTGCTGCCGCTGCTGCTGCTTTGCCGCTGATGCCGTTGCCGTTGCTGTCGTTGTCGTGGGCGTCGTGCTGCCCTCGCCCCCGGTCTGCTGAGCCAGCTGCTGCTGCTGCCGCTGCTGCGGAGGCGGCGGCGGCGGCGGCGGCGGCTTGCGCGGTTCTTGACGAGCACGCATCTCTGGCCTCAGCGGGATGACCTCGCACGGGTCATCCTCGCCGCTTCCCTGCGGTCTGTTGGTGAAAAACACCGCCGCAACGGATCGCCCAGCCAGCTTCGAGGAGGAGGAAGAGGTGGTCCTTTCGACGATGGTAGTCTTGCTCCTCGCCAGCAACTTGTTCGGCTTCGGCCGCGTCACCTCGCCCCTGAGAAAGCCGTTCGCGTCTCTGCTGGCTTGGCTCAGGAGCCGGGGGGGCGGGGGTGGGGGCACCGCCGAAGTGCGCAGGGAGGCCGCGACGAGCGCCGCCCGCCGCTCCTCGAGCTCGAGGACCTTGCTGTGTGTCCGCCGCGTCGTGCTTCCCCTCCCGCGGCTGCTGTCTCCGCTGCCGTCGCTGTAGAAGGAGTCCGGGCTCGACCTCCCTCCGGCGTGGTCTTCCCTGTCCGTATGTACTCCGCTCCCGCTCCCGCTACTGCTATCGGCTTCGACGCCACTGCCACCCCCCCTCTCTACGCTCTTGCCCACCATGGAGATCGCCTTTTCCGCCGCCGCCGCCGCCACCGCTCGCGGCTCCCTGCGGTGTTCCTTTGGCACGCTTCGAAGACCGGCCCTCGCGAGGGCCAGTGTCGGCGACGGCGTGTCCCTCCCGCCGCCCTCCGGACCGGCCGGGTCGTCTCCCTTGCTGACGCCGTTCGGGGACTGCGCCGACGGTGCCACCCCTGCCATCGCCGCCGCCTGCGCACGCCTGCTATCGCGGCCGCCGTTCAGCGCCTCCGAAGAAGCGGACGAGACGGTATCGATCCCCCCGCTCGACGTCTTGGGCTGGACGGTGTTGGTGGCGCCGGACAGCAGCGGCGGGGCCGGCGCCAGCGGCACGAACGACAGTGGCATCGGCGACCGCCGGCCGACCAACCCCCCCCCGTTGCTGCTGCTACGGCCGCGGTGCTCAACGGCGGCCCTTCGTGACGACGACGATAACGCCTCCTTCGGACGGGGAGCC